CCGTCCCCTGACGGGCCATTGGCGTACGGGCCAGATGAGTTGGGCATGTGTGAATTCGTGCCACCGGAACCTCCAGTACCAGCACCGGTGTTACCTCCACCTCCACCTCCGCCACCAGTGCGATCTGACTGAGCAGCACGACGTCGACGAGCAGTATGCTTTTTCAGTAGCTGCTTATATCCCTCGGTCTTCTTTGATAAGTAGTAGTACCGGATACATTCTGCAACAGACTTTCCTTCCAGGAAACTGGCAATACTTGGGAAATTTTTCGGTGTTGCCAAAAATCGTTCACGGAATATCTGTTTCTCTTCGTCTGTCCATTTGGAAATATCATGTGTTTCCTGAAGCTGTGCACGACATTCCGTGACTAAGCCCGCTTGACATACAAATCGATAGCGACGTTGCCATGGCGCAAGAAGGAGCGGTGGATCGATGGCATATTCCTATTACATAGTGAGGGGTTGGAACGAAATCAAAAATAAGCTCGACCGAAACGGATAAATTGAGCGATGTCAATAGTTGATGCAAAACCTTCAGGAATAACCCAATTTTTTTTCGTCACAAGTCCTAATTGAGTGCAGGTTAATACAAATGAATTCAGCAGAAGCAAGGGTTTCACCTAAGATGCTGAGGGATGGCTACTTGTTAATTCGGATGGAGAATTAGCAACTGAGCATTTTTAAACGAGATTCATGGTCAATGAAACTGCGACTGGAAAGTTACCATCACTAAACCATTCTCGTGGTTTCGGTTTCAGTTTTTACAACCATTAACCATGCACTTTCGTGGTCCGGTTTTTGGTTGATGTCTTTTGGTCGCCCATTTACATACAAGAACGGAATGAAAATTAGAATGTTGAGAGTAAATTCACACGGAAGATAGCGAATTTATGTAGACTGATGTTATAAGAATGGTGAGTAGATGCAGGGGCGCCACCGTTTACGACACCAGGCATATCACTCAGTGTCTCTAACCATCGGTGATCATCATCTCGGGGTCCCCAGCCAGGGAGCCTAACGGGTTCTATGTGATCCAGTCTCCTGGTCTTCGTTTGGCCGCTCTTGACACTTTCCGTCGGCTGCTAGTCTCGGCAAACATCGCTCACCGCGGCAAACTATTTGGTAACGTGCGTAACACATGAGCCAACTAGCGTAATCTATGAAGGTCGACTACTTGCTCCAGTGGACGACCGTGATTACCCAAAACTCTACACCTAATCTCAGCACTGCTCGTCCGGTTACCCCATCAGATTCAAAGAATACCGCGCAGAGAGCGCTGTTAGAACACGGACAACCTCTTCTCGTGGTGGTGGTAACTTACGTGGATTCCACACAGGCAATTTTTTTATAGCACACCTAAATGTGATGAACATCAGACGGGGCGAACCCCATAATCACGAGGATCTGCTATTCAGTTATGGAAACCGGTAACCTTATACCCGGGACTTGGAGTGGCGAAATACATAAGACCCCGCTAGGTTAGGCGTGGTATTGAGCCGGACGAAAGCAAAGCTGCCTACCAATAAAGTTGTGTGGCGGGGCTCGAACTTCGGACCATAGGTCCCAAAGCACGCAGGGGGCAGCGACTAAACCATTGCGCCACTACCAACCTACCACATGGAATGAAACTCACACAACCAGGTTTGTTGATTTAATCAAAAGACGACAACAAGAGTAATGTCGATGAATGTTACATGCAAACACACACACACACGAAGGATTATCTCGATGCCAAGCATCGAAAACTCGGACTGAAAACCAAACTGCATCAAATTGCATGAAAGTTTACCAAGAAACAACACAGTCCAAATCGTACAAATAGTGAACCACATGATGCGCAGTAACTCACCTCCATTTTGCTCATCTCCTCAACCGGATCGTATATGGCTGCCTGATTGGGATCTACCACACCATTCTGATTCTGGCAAGTAGAATCACCTAAGGGATATTAGAAGAAAGAAACGGATGAGAAGAGAACATGTTCAATGATCGTAGTTCTCTCAAGCGGACTCAATGCCACTGTGCTGGGAAGGCAGACAAACAGTACTACTACAGTATGCAAAGTGAAGTGCGGTGCAACAAAAGACAGTGTTTGTGCTCGTAGCCAGATGCGTCAAACAGAGTCATTCAGTTTTCCACACATAGCATTTCCGGGTAATTCATCTGGAAGTGAGGAGTGAAGGCGAACACCGAATTGAAGTATTTTTAGTTCAACCATGGAGTTTTCGTTCTACTTCTATGTAATCCTTCACTTAATGTCAGTTAGTTCCTCGGACGAGACAAGCCATCCTTCAAGCGCATCATGGAACCTGCTGAAAATGTGAGGGTAACAAATGTCCGGAGCTTCACACGGCTTTTCTAGGATGCAACTCCCTGATTCTCACACAGATAATTGTGGACAGCAATATAGGAGGGAAGTAGATCTTTGATCACTGGTTCTCGATGTCTCCGGAAACCAGTACGCAATGCGATACGAGTGAATTCAAGCCAACGAATTATCATGACGAGACTGCACCTCGACTTGGTGTGATGGCTTATGCACCCCTGTGAGCCAACGAGCTACACAGGACGGCTTTTGTCAAGTCGAAGATCTAATCATGCCCGGAAGGTCGAAGGGTAGAGGTCAGACGGAGTCCAGTCTCCTGGTCCTCCAGGTAGGGGGTTCGACAAGAATTTGCATTTCAGTCAGTAAAAAAGTGATGGCAGAGTAACTGATCCAAGTAAATGGGCCTCCACTTCGATTCACCCGCTGCCTTGCGGCTAGATTCTTGTCAGAATTAAAGGCTATG